CTTGTTATTGCTGGGTATTTACTGTCCCGGAGAGCTACTTGTGGAATTTTCCATTCCAGAGGCTGAATTAATTTGGCCAGCCTTGGGCACCTTGAGTTCGCGGAAAGAGGAGGCACGCATGCAAATGGCATGAGCTGCTTCCATCTCAGGCAGCAAAATGTCTGAAAGTCTGTCCCAAGAAGCTCCTGAAAACCTCAGAACTTTCCCACTTAGCTGCTGTGTTATTCAGCCTACAAAAATAAGGGCCATTGCACATTACATAACACTATGTAACAAAATTTGAAAACAATTCAGTTCCTGGTTTGAAAGTGTTATTTCATGTTTAATTGTGTGGTGGTTACTTTGAAAGCAGTTGTTATACTCCATAGAATTCATTTTTGTGGCTGCCACAAACTACATTGAATTGGCTGAACCTGAATGAGATATTCATTGAAAAACTATAGCAAAATGTGCTGCAGGATTTCCTGCAAAAAAGAAAGTTTTTGCAGTTTAATAAACCTTTCTCCATGTTTTGATGACCCTAAGAATCATGGAGCCCAGGTTTCAAATCCATAACCAGATATGGAAACACACTGGTGATCTTGTGCAAGTCACACTCTCTCAGCCCCCGGTGGCACAATGGGTTAAACCCCTGTGCCGGTAGGACTGAAGACTGTCAAGTCACAGGTTCAAATCCAGGGAGAGCAGGGATGAGCTCCCTCTATCAGCTCCAGCTCCTCATGCAGGGACATGAGAGAAGCCTCCCACAAGGATGATAAAACATCAAATCATCTGGGCGTCCCCTGGGCAACGTCCTTGCAGACGGCCAATTCTCTCACACCAGAAGCGACTTGCAGTTTCTCAGGTCGCTCCTGGCACGACAAAAAAAAAGCCTTAGAGGGAAACATAACTATGTGGTTTTTTAAAATAGTTTTTATTAGAAAGATTTTCCAAATACAGCGGATAAAAAGAGAGGGGGCGGTAGGGGTTTTTTGTTATACAAGGTAGTTAAAAAACCAGTGTTGAGAGTGGGGGTGGGGTGGGTCCGTCATTATGGTCCACACGTGCATAAGGGTCCACCAAGTGTAGTTAGAAACATAACTATGTTAAATTATGAAGATAAGTTAATATAGATCAAGAGTTGGCATGTTTACCATTGAAATTAAAAAATGGTGTATGGTGGTTTTTTGAAGGTAGAGGATATAGGACTTAATGAATTGAATGACATTGCATCATTAAAATACTGGTGTTTCCTTTCAATGTGAAAATAATCCTTGATCTTAACTGGGTTTTAGCCACGGGCGGCTCAACCCATTACGCAAAGTAAGCATTTGCAGTATAGTTGATTTTGCCCAGGGGCGCTCTTGAGGCGCTCTTGGGGGAAAGTAGACCTTGACATATGCGAGTTGTCGTTACTGGAATATATAGTTCACCTACAATCAAAGAGCATTCTGAACTCCACCAATTATGGAATTGAACCAAATATGGCACACAGAACTCCCACCACAAACAGAAAATATATATCAGTGATTGGTTTGGGGGGGGGGGCAAAATACTGTTTGCTTACCGTTGAAAATTACCTAGGGCCACCTCTGGTTTTAGCTGAAGGGCCTAGAGCAGGGATGGGCAAATTTGGACCATCTAGGTGTTTTGGGCTTCAACTCCCACCATTCCTAACAGCCTCAGGCCCTTTCCTTTTCCCCCTCAGCCGCTTAAGCGAATAACCATTGCCTTGTATTTTCAGACCTTAACAAAAGCAAAGATAGGTCTTGTGCATACTCTGTTTCAGCAAAGCTATTTGACAGATCAGAAGTGTACATATTTCTTCAATTCTAAGATGTTGTTGATTGTAAGACGCTTAAGCGGCTGAGGGAAAAAGGAAGGGGCCTGAGGCTGTTAGGAATGGTGGGAGTTGAAGTCCAAAACACCTGGAGGGCCAAAGTTTGCCCATGCCTGCTCTATAATATGGATGGATAAACCCTGTGTTTTCTTCTTTACCTTTTCCTTTCCCTTTCCTGGCCCGCATTCCTTTTGTGTGCTGTCTTGTTCAGATTGACTCCTGAGGCCAGAGACTGTCATAATCTTCTTTTTATTGATCTCTAAGCCACTCCGAGAGACCTTCCAGCTGTGAAACAGTGTGTAAATAAGAGTCATAGGCTTGGAATGGACCTCTCAGGACAGTGAGTCCATGCTATAAATGGTATGGAGCCAGCGTGGCATAGTGGTTTCGGTGTTAGTCTAAGGCCCCTTCCATACAGCTGAATAAAATCTCAATTATCTGCTTTGAACTGGAATATATGGCTGTGTGGATTCAGATAATCCAGTTAAAAGCGGATATTGTGGGGTTTTCTGCCTTGATATTCTGGGTTATACGGCTGTGTGGAAGGACCCTAAGAATCATGGAGCCCAGGTTCAAATCATAACCAGATATGGAAACACACTGGTGATCTTGTGCAAGTCACACTCTCTCAGCCTTAGAGGGAAGCAAAGGCAAGCCTATCCAGAATTAATCTTAACAAGAAAAAAACTAGGAAAGAGTTGCCTTGACATCTACCTGAAGGCACAATATGTTCCCAGTCTTTGAAATTCAGCCTTCCAATCCAACATTACATCTCTGGATATCGCATCATAATAATTTGTTGAAGCAAAAAACCACAGCAAGAATTGTGGTGTTGTATTGTCGAAGGCTTTCATGGCCGGAATCACTGGGTTGTTGTAGTTTTTTTCGGGCTACATGGACATGTTCTAGAGGCATTCTCTCCTGACGTTTTGCCTGCATCTATGGCAAGCATCCTCTGACGATGCTTGCCATTGATGCAGGCAAAATGTCAGGAGAGAATGCCTCTACAACATGGCCATGTAGCCCGAAAAACCTGCAACTACCCAATTGTGGTGTTGTTTTTAAACAGAGGCTTTTAAAGAGAGGCTGGATGGCCATCTGTCGGGGGTGCTTTGGATGCAATTTTCCTGCTTCTCAGCAGGGAGTTGGACTGGATGGCCCATGAGGTCTCTTCCAATTCTATGATTCCATGATTCTATGGAATGAATGTGCTACAAGACGCTTCTAATTTAGACCTTGGCCGGATCTACACTGGAAAATGATGCTGTTTGAACTGCATTATGTGGTCAGTGTAGTAGACTCATATAATGCATTTAAAAGGGTAGATCCTGCCCCATTCATTGGGGTTGTCTGGAGCTGAGCGTATGGGTGCATCTAAACTGTAGAAATAATGCAATTAGATACCACTTTAACTGCCATGGCTCCTTTTTATGGAATCCTGGGAGCTGTAGCTTAGAGAACAACCAAGAAAGGTAAAGACCTTGTAAAACTACAGCTGCTATAATGAGGCATGGCAGTTAAATTGGTATCAAACTGCATTAATTGCATAGTTAATTTCAATTAATTGCAAACTGCATAAATTGCATGAGTCACCAGAGGGAGAAAGGGTGGGTTATACATAAAGTTTATTATTATTATTATTATTATTATTATTATTATTATTATTATTATTAAAAACACAACAAGATGAGTCCACAGCAAACAAGATCACTCTGCTGGTTGTTGTATTGGATCACACATCGGACACTTCCCAAGTGTCTAGGACTGTGTGATGTATCAGCGAATAATGCGTGCAGATCCCAAGAAGGTGGCCTTCTGCAGCTGGCCAAACATAAACATAATTCAGCACTACATTTCAGTAATGAACAAAGATAACTGCTATTAGTTCAGAGTGAAAGTCAGACACTTTAATGCCCAAACTCACAGTTAAAAAAACCCCAGTATCCTTTAATTTTCAGGTAACAGCAGTAAAGCATACATGACACAACCGTACTTTTTCTTGAGTGTGTGGTACAGTCTAATGTACAATGTGGGAAGCCTGACTTGTCAAAGTATATAGAATGTATTGATCCATGGACCTTAAGAGTTGATGGTTTAATTTTGTCAGCGCCGATTGTGTTTAAATGCAGGCCAAGGTCTTTAGGCACTGCACCCAGTGTGCCGATCACCACTGGGACCACCTTTACTGGCTTGTGCCAGTGTCTTTGCAGTTTAATCTTTAAATCCTCATAGATCATAGAATATAGAGTTGGAAGAGACCTCATGGGCAATCCAGTCCAACCCCTCATATCATGTTAGCTTTTATTATTTGATTATTATTTTATTACTAGCCATTCCCTGCCATGCGTTGCTGTGGCCCAGTCTGTGTATATGTGTTTTGTGTGTGTATATATACATATATGTGCGTGTATATATTTGTGTATATTTGTATAAATGTGTGTTTATGTATATATGTGGTTTTGTGCATGCGTTGTAATGTATTTTTTTATTTTTGTGGCTTTTTAAGCCCCTTCCACTGTGATTTTCAGTGTTTGGTGGTGATGGTCATTCGTTGTCTTGATAGGTGTCTTGCGTCCAAATTTGGTGTCAATTCGCCCAGTGGTTTTTGAGTTATGTCAATCCCACAAACGAACATTACATTTTTATTTATATAGATTATTATTTAGTTGAGATGCACCTGATGCTATGGAATCATGGGACCCTTGGGCAGAGAAGCCTAAGGACCTTATAAAACTGCCAACTCCATGATTTCAAAACACTGAGGCATTGCAGTTCCAAGTGGTGTCACTGTCAAACTGCATTAATTCCAGAGTGTAGATGCACCATTACCCAATGCTGCTGCCTCTCTGCTGGCTGGGTATATTTTCCAAACTGTTGTATACACTCAGCGGTGGAGAGGAAAGAAAATTAAAGGGAGAACCAACTGGGTAATTGCTAATTGCAGTTACGCAACTATTTTCCCCCTTTTCCTCTTTTTCCCTCTGCTTTCCCTGCGTGCCACTCTCCCTCGCGCCGAGCCCATAAACAGGCTCGAGCTTGAACAAGATTGGAGTTTCCCATTGTGAGCTGTCTCCCCTGATCCCCCAATCAGCGGCGTCCCCCATTCGAACCCTTTCGGCCAATCGCGTGGCGCTGGAGGCGGGCCCTCTCCCATTCATAAAAACCCGAGCAGGGCAGCTGCCTCTTCACTCCAAGCAGCTGCTTGATCCTGCTTAGCTGATTCCTCGCTGCTGTTCTATGCACGGCTTGCCTTCCAGCCCCACGGCCATGTGCTACGCTTGCGAGTCCAGACTGACCCGAACTTTCACCATGCCCGAAGGCCCCAAAAGAAGGGAGCCCACGGGGCCCCAATACTTCACTTTCGACCCCATCCCAGAGGTCGAGGTGAGCCCTGCTGCACCCAGGAAGGGCTCCAAGACCCTCAGGAGCAAAAAGAGATCCAGGAGAGTGCTTTACCCACCAGTGGTAAGTATTTGGGTGCATATAGGCTGTAGCTGAATCAATGCCGTTTGATTGACAGCACTGCAATGCTATGGGATCCTGGGAGTTGTAGTTCTGCAAGAGTTCTAGTGCCTTGCCAAACTAGCTCCCACAATCCCATAGCATTGAGCCATGGCAGCTCAAGAGGTGTCCAGCTTCATTCATTCAACCCCTTGTAAGACACAGAAGTATTGAGATTGCAGAGAGGAGAGGAAGTCAAGGGTCTTGAGGAATTGTGGGAGTTGGAGTCCAAAACACCTGAAGGGCCCAAGTTTGCCCAGGCTCAGTTTAAAGCCAAGGGTCTTGAAATCGAGTGGAGCCAAGGACAAGGTGTTCTCTATTTATTTATCGTGTCAGGAGCGAACCAAACAGTTGGGTTGCATTAATAATAAACAAACCACAAAGTTTGCAAACTTGGTGGTTGATTAAATGTCTTTTGACCAGTAGCTGCCCACTTGGAGTGCCTCTGGTGTTGCTAAAACAAGGTCCTCCATGGTGCATGTAGCAGGGCTCAGGTTGCATTGCAGCAGATGGCCTGTGGTTTGCTGTATGAAAGGGTGCCATTGGGTGCATCTACATTGCAGAATGAATGCAGTCTGTTGCCACTTTTAATTGTCATGGCTCCATGCTATGGGATCCTGAGAGTTGCAATTTTGGCCTCGCCAAACTTCATCTCTAAGGCTTCTGTAACATTGAGCCATGGCAATTAAAACTGCGGTCAAACTGCATTTATTCTACAGCATGGATCAGGCATGGGAAAACGTTGGCCCTCCAGGTGTTTTGGACTTCAACTCCCACAATTCCTAACGGTAGACTTAGTGCAGTTTGGCGCCACTTTAACTACCATGGCTGAATGCTGTGGAATCCTGGGAATTGTAGTTTGATGAAGCATCAGTCGTCTTTGTCAGAGAAAGCTAAAAACCTCGTAAAACTACTATATTCATGATTCCGTAGTCCTAAAGCATGGCAAAGTGGTGTCAAACTGCATTTGTTCTACAGCTGATGCCACAGCAATTGGTGGTGTCAAACACCTATAATTTGCAGTGTGGATGAATTGGAATTGATCTGAAGACATATGACAACTGAGCCATGTCCATGTCCATTGTGAGCCATTGTGAATTTGCCAATGGATTTTGGAAAGCTTGCTTCACTGCAAAGAAGGCCCCTCCACACACTGCCATAGAAAATCCAGATTATCTGGTTTGCACTGGATTATATGGCAATGTAGAAGGGAGTGAAGTGAGAAAATGGAATCACTGAATAGTAAAGTTGGATTAGACTATAAGGGCCAAACAGTCCAATGCAATGCTATACAGGAATACACAAAGTACTCCTGACAGACAGCCATGTTTATGTCTATGTTTCGAAACCTCCAGGGAAGGAGACTCCATCACATTCCCACACAACATATTAAGTGCACAGAATATGTGGTTGTTTTGTGTTTTATTAATGTTTCTAACCATCTGCCTCTGCTCTCCTTCCAGGCAAAGCGCTACTACCCCACGGAAGAGCCCAACTATGCCAAGCGCCTTCTTTTCATCCTCCTCACTGTCGTCCTTTTCCAAATCTACAGTGCCGAAGAGGAGCTTCCGGCCACCTTTGTTTCCCTGAGCACTGAAGAAAACGTCTCTCGTTGCTCCGTGGAGTCGAGGGAGTCTCGTGGGGAACCCCTCCATTTGCAGGAGCCTGAGCTCCCAGCACCCTCCACGGAAACGGAAACCCATGGAGACGTGGTAGTCAATGCAACCAGCTGGCATTGGGTGAAGAACGAGACATCCGAATCCACGGTTGACATCACCCAGCTTTTGGAGCAGAGCCAGGCTGCTTTCTGATGAACTAAGAGAGAGACTTGACTGGATTGCGACGTCTTAGAAGCAGGAGCTTGGCTTTGGAGGAAAAAAAGCGGCTTTCTTCTAAGCAGAATGCAAACCGCAGAAGGGTTAATGCTGTTGGGAAGTGATCCAGCTCTTTCCGGCACTCTGCAATGACAGCAAAGTGAACTCGGCCAGACCCGTGAACTGACGTCAATGAAAATTATACTTGACTTGAACTGACACTGGGTGGGGAGGTTGCCCATTTCTGTATTCAGCCAGATATCTGGCGAGCGGAAGAAAAGAAGAAGACATTAACTTAATATTTATTTATTTAATAATAATAATAATAATAATAATAATAATAATATGTAATTTCAACTGATGTATTTAAAGTTTTGCCAAACTAAATGTTGACAAGGAAAAATCTCGGCTCACACAAGGGTCGCTTGGACTGTTTTGCTCTACTGCAGTATTTTATAAAACTCTCTTCCTCCAGGTGTTTTGGACTTCGGGTCCCAGAAATCCCAGCCAAATTGTGGGAGTTGAAGTCCAAAACATCTGGAGGAGCGCAGTTTGAGAAACTCCGCTCTAGTGAGAGTGTTATAGTGTGGCTTTTTGGGAAAGTAGTTAAAATCTTACATGGAAAAGGTGATGATTTGTAGATTTATAGTCTGTATTTATGACACTGGGTAATGTTTAGTGGATATTGAACTATGGAGGGGAAGCCACTGAAAGGATGGTACCGCGATGCTCTGAAGTGACTTGCTTTCAAACTCATTTGTATGACAGGGATCCAAAGTAAATCAACGCTGACAAATAATATTGTATGTGCATTAGTATTGTTTTTTTCCTGTTCTTGAGTATTAGCCAGCAATGTTTATTGTTAGAGCATTTTGCTTACTATGTAAGCATTGGACATCTCTCTTTCTGGAAAAAGAAGAAAAAGAAAAAGCACTAAGAACATCCAGACGGGCATTTCGGAAACAGAAGTAAATTTATTTTGCGAATTGCACTTTACATGTCTACATGAATTGTCTAAGGTCTGTATGTTCCATGAACAAATGAATAAAGATGTGATATTATTTCCTTTTGTCTGGCTTAGATATTTAATGTGGTTTATGGTGGGAATGGGAATAGACCATGTATGTGCAAACTTTGGCCCTCCAGGTGTTTTGGCCTTCAACTTCCACAATTCCTAACAGCTGGCAGGACTGAAGACTGACAGGTCGCAGGTTTGAATCCAGGGAGAGGCGTATGAGCTCCCTCTACCAGCTCCAGCTCCTCATGACAGAAGCCTCCCACAAGGATGATAAAAACATCAAATCATCCAGGCGTCCCCTGGGCAACGTCCTTGCAAACGGCCAATTCTCTCACACCAGAAGCAACTTGCAGTTTCTCAAGTCGCTCCTGACACGACAAAAAAAACAAAACCTGAAGGTTACCATAAGTCACACAATAAACAATCACTATTGCACAATCTATATATTTCCATAAAAAGTTCAACTTATCCTTGGCAAAATGTAAAAGGAAAGGTTTTCCCCTAACACTTAGTCCACTCGTGTCCGACTCTGGATGTTGGTGCTCATCTCCATTTCTAAGCCAAAGAGCCAATGTTGTCCATAGACACCTCCAAGGTCATGTGGCCAGCATGACTGCATGGAGTGCTTTACCTTCCCGCTGGAGTGATACCTATTGATCTCACATTTGCATGTTTTCAAACTGCTAGGTTGTCAGAAGCTGAGGCTAACAATGGGAGCTCTACCCACTCCCCAGATTTGAACTGGTGACCTTTCAGTCAGCAAATTCAGCAGCTCAGTGGTCTAAACCACTGTGCTACCAGGAGTGCAAAATGTAAACAGCCACTAATGAACTCAAGAAATCAAATAAACATAAATGGGCTAGGGGTGGTAAAAGAAAGAGTAGAGAACCAACCCAGGGAAGGATATTTTGCCACTGCAGATAAATTAGCCTCCCTGCATAAAGTGGTACCTAAATTTCCTATTTTACAGGTGCAACTGTCTTTCGGGCTGCATAGGTCAACAGCAAGCTAGACTTTTAATGGTCGGGAGCTCACTCCAACTCTGGTTGGCTTCGAACTCATGACTTCTCGGTCTGTAGTGATTTAATGCAGCTGGCTAGTAACTAGCTGCGCCACAGCTCGGTCCAGTTCTATCTTTGGGTCCTCCTGTATGATTCTATGGTCAATATCTGGTTGAAGTTATCCATAACGTTCTGCTGGAGGACCTAGGCTGGATCTATGCTGCCCTATATTGCAGGACTGATCTCAAATCATCTGGTTATCCCAGATTATATGACAGCGAAGACTCATATAATCCAATTCAAAGCAGATAATATGGAATCAGATCCTGGGAAATAGGGTGATGTAGATCCCAACCCTAGAAGTTTCTAGGAGAAACACATTGCTCAAAACTCTGCAAATGTGAAGAGCCAACTGTATACCAGAGATGGTGAATTTAGGATCTTTTTGGTGGGCTATACTTCCCTTGATCCCTTACTGCAAGCACTGATGGGAGTTGCAGTCTAATAATATGTGAAAAGCTTGAAGTTGCTTATGCTTATTCTAGAACAAAACCAGTTCAGACAAGTAGCAACCAAAGTAAGATTCCACTCAAACCAGGCTGGGTTTGTTGCTAAATCAGGAAACAATATTGTGAACCTACAAGGTATTGCAACAAATCATGCCGTATGGAGCAGAATAGAAATGGAAAATCTTGTTTCTGTAGGTGGTTGTTCATACTGCCACTAAATAATGCCCTTCTAAGGTTATTTTTTTTTATTTTGCAAGGTTGCTACACAAATTGATAAGAGGCCTGTGTAACATTCAGCAAGAAAACTACTCAGACCTAAGTCTCATGGGAACAGAAAGGGACCTGATAGAAGTACAGATTAACTCACATACTCAGCCACAGCAGTGTGTCACGGGGTGGGAACAAACAAGATAGGGGTATGCCCAAGATAAATATAGAGGATACTTCTGTAAGTGACCTATGGAACAGAACTAACTTAAGCTGTAGGTGTGAAGGTCTCACAAAAATCATCATGGTATTAGAAATATGATATTGGATTAAATGCTTAATATTTTTTTTCATGTCAGGAGTGACTTAAGAAATTGCAAGTTGCTTCTGGTGTGAGAGAACTGGCCATCTGCAAGGACGTTGCCCAGGGGATGCCCAGATGTTTTGATGTTTCACCATCCTTGTGGGAGGCTTCTCTCATGTCCCCGCATGGGGAGCTGGAGCTGACAGAGGGAGCTCATCCACCCTCTCTTTGAACCTCTGACCTGTCGGTCTTCAGTCCTGCCGGCACAAGGGTTTAACCCATTGCACCACCAGGAGCTCTGCTTAAATGTTATAATAGATATACAAGAAGAGAAACAATTTTTGCAGCTTTGTGTGGCCATTCCAAAGTACAACACCAAAGAGAATCCCTGGTAGCAGGCAAGTATTTTTGGACATCCTTTATATACCCATTATATACATGCTGGCCTATTAATAAAGAGATAAAGAAGGTGTTTAGTATCTGCTGGGGTTTGTTCCAGGACCAACTAAGGATACCAAAATCTGTGGATGCTTCATTCCCATTAGATATTATGGTGTAGTAAGATGGCATAACCAATGTTTGCTTGTTTAAAAAAAATTGAAACTGTGGATGGTTGAATCTACATATGTAGAATTTGTGAATAAAGAGGGGTCAGCTATGAGAGAAGCCTCCCATAGGATGGTAAAACATCCAGGCATCCCCTGGGCAACATCCTTGCAGACGGCCAATTCTCTCACACCAGAAGTGACTTGCAGCTTCTCAAGTCACTCATGACCCGGAAAGTAAATAAAGCTGTATATGTTGTACCAAGAGTGCCAAGTTGGAACTCAGAAAATGTGCCCTCCATACCACCCTCACTCATCCAGGAACCCTAGTGTTATCCATGTACTCTGCGCATTGCAGGAGAGAACCAAAGTGCATTGGCGAAATACCATTTTATTGATTGGTTCCATTTTTATTCCTCACTTTCACTAAGGCGTTTCTACAACCAGTTGCTTTCCAGATACATTAGACCACAATGACCTTTGATCTTTCTGACAACAGCTGATAAGAGCTATAGTCCCTCTGGAAGGCATCAGTTTGTGCCGAATTTAGGAGATTCTGGAAGTCACAATCTGTTCTCAAAATAACTTTGTGACTTAGGCTAAGTGTGAATGGTTTGTGCAAGGACAATGAGGCCTTCAAACCAGGGTCTTTTGTGTCTAACATGACACTAGCCACTGACTCTTCTTTGTATCGGCTAAGCAAGCTAATGGCGAAATTTATAGACATTTCATGTCTCTGCAACAGATCTGATTCCATAAGACCTGGTGGCTTTCCCACAGCAAAGGAGCACATGCCTGGCTTGCTGAAACTCTAAACATGCCATGCCACATTTCATTACAGATCCCATTTGTTTGGTGCATCAGAGAGCAAAGCCAGCAAAAACAGGACATACAGTCAGTGGAAATGCTCACCCTCCAGTGACACAAGATAACAATTGTCGTCAGTGCTTGATATTTAACTCTAGAAGGGGATGAAATGATCAGTGAAAATATTTGAGAGTTGATATTCATATGAAAAGGCAGATATTCCTCCAGAACTTGAAAAAACTAGGCCAGATAAAATATAACAGCGTGTTCTACCACCTCAATACACTCAACTATTTCAGTAATATGAGGAAGAAGGATTCACCGAGGGATCCATTTTTTTTCTTTTTAATGCTTTTAGATTAGGAAATATCTGTCCCAGAAAATTTTGTAAGCAGTGTTGTAGCCTGGTCAGATTCTGAGTGCTCAGAAGATGAGGGAGGGAATGCTGGGATAGATTTGGACGGCCCAGAGGACAATAGAACTGGACTGGAGAGATTTGTTTTGGAATCTCTTAGCAGTTTCCATGAGACTGGAGAACGCAATATCGGTTCTCATGAGAAGCTGTCAGATATGTGGGAGACAAATGTTTGTCCAGGTCAAGGCACTTGGAACTTCAGAGGCAGAGGGTACAACAGAGACAAACTCGCTTTTCCTGGCCGTTTAGAGGAAAAGCAGGTGTATGAGAACTGATGTCATGGGAGGGCCAGAGGCCTTTTAAGTGGTTTTCTGCTGGTGCGATCCTTGGTGAGAGCAACATTGTATTCAGGTGAACAGCTCTCGGTTCTTGGTCCCATGTTTTTGGATTTGTATATTCAAGTTTTTAAGTCTGTTCCTGTTTCTAGTTCCATATGCGGCATAGGTTGCCTGTCTTGAATTCATGCTATCATGTTTATGGATACATCTGTGGATTGACTCTTAAGATTATATTTGAAAGGATTTCGGAATCTTGGCTATCTTGAAAATAACTTTTTGAACTTTGATTATCCTTTTTAGATTTGCTTATTTTTATATAATCTTCTCTTAATAAACATTTACTTACTGGATTACCTGGACAGAGTGTGGTTTGTGGTGAAAAGGTGTTTCAGGGCTCTAGTGCAACAAGCAACTTGTAAAAGAGTAATTGTCAGAAAAAGCAAGTTCCAGTTCCCCTGCTATTCTTCTTTTTCCTTCTTCCTCCTGTCTCCTTCATCTTTGGGGAATATGGTGAATGCCAGTGTTGTTGGGGACAGGCGGTTATTCCTTGCTCCATTGCATTGCTATTTTGTTGTGATTTGGGGGTTTTAAACAGATTGTTTTGTATTTTTGATGGCAGCCCCATGATGTCAGACAGTGTGGTCTTGTGGCGACCATGGAATGAACTCAACCATGGAGCTGTCCTGTGACATGGGAGTCCCCTTCATGTGTTTATTATGATTTCAAAACCTAGTTGAGTATAGACAGCTCTAGTTGGCCTTGGAACTCTTACACATATGTTTCCATAATGAAAATGTGATAAAGGAAATGCGTGGAGCCACTTAATATATATGTGCAATGAGAGCAATGACCTTAGGAAAAGACAAGATAAATTCTTGCTAGTTCTACACTAGAGCCAGAATAGTGTGGTGGCTTGAGCACTGGAACACAACAATAGCTCAAACCACACTTGACTAACTCACTGGGTAATCTTGGAC